CAACAGCAGCCTGCAGCAGCGGCAGCAGCAGCAAATTGGGCTGCAGCAACTGTAGCAGCAGCGGGTGGCCACCGGCACTCACTCGCAGCAGCAGCGAGGGAGACACTTCGGCTGGAGCAACGCTTCAAGCAGCAAGTTGGTCCAGCAGCAGCAGCAGCTGCAGCAGTAGCTGCAGCAGCAGCAGCAGCACATTGTGACCCACAAGTGGGCAAGCAGCAGCGCGTGCTGCTGCTGCCGCTGCAGCAGCAGCAACAGTAGCCGCACCAGCTGCTGTCATTACTTCCCCTAGTGATTTTGATCGCCAGCAGCAGCAGCAACTGCTGCATCTCGTTCGGCAGCAACTGCAGCAGCAGCAGCAGCAGCAGTGCTGCTGCAGCAGCAGGATGCGGGGTGGCTGGGACTCGTCTTTGCTGTCTTCATCATCATGCTGTTCAGACACCTCAAACTCTTCTGATAGCAGCGACGGTGAAAATGCAGCAGCAGCAGCAGCAGCAGCAAATGTGCAGCAGCAGCAGCAGCTGCATGCTCACCCTCATCACCTTCATCAACACCATATTCTGCAGCAGCAGCATTTGCTGCAGCAGCAGCATTTGCAGCAGCACCCTTTGCAGCAGCAGCAGCAGATGCACCACCCGTCACTGCACCCACAGCAGCAGCAGCAAATGCAGCAGCAGTTGCAGCGGCAGGTGCAGATGCAGCAGCATCTGCCGCTTGAGCATGCGCCTGAGCAGCAGCAGCAGCAGCAGCAGCAGCAGCAGCAGCAGCAGCAACGAGGCGGCCGACCCCGGGCTTCAAGAAGAGGCAGAGGCGGAGGGAGACGCGGCAGCAGCAAGGCAAAGGCGGGACCTCCTAGCAGCAGCAGCAGCAGCAGCGGCAGCAGCAATGGCAGCCGGAGCAACGGCAGCAGCAACGGCAGCAGCAGCACTCCGCATATGGTGGCGGAAGCTGCTGGTGCTGTTGCTGCTGTTCACCAAATGCAGCAGCAGCAACACATCTTTAGCCAGCAGCAACTGCAGCAGCGGCAAGGCTTGCTGCTGCAGCACCACCAGCTGCAGCAGCAGATCGATCAGCTCCAGCAGGGCGCGCTGCAGCAACAGCAGCATTTTCTGCAGCAGCAGCAGATGCAGCAGAAAGTGGAGCAGCAGCAGCATATGGGGCAGCAGCAGCAGATAAGGCAGCAGCTGCCGCAGCAGGAGCTGCAGATTTCGCCCGAGGAGTATTGGAGAGAGCAGCAGCGGCTGCGACCCGGTGTCAGCACAGCAGCAGCAGCAGCTGCTGCTGCTGCTGTTGCTGCTGCTAACGAATGTGAGGCAGCAGTTGCTGCGGATATTGCCGCAAGGGACCAGCAGGAGAGGCAGGAGCGGTTGCAGCAGCAAGAACTGCAGCAGCAACTTCAGCTGCAGCAGCAGCAGCAGCAGCTGCAGCAGCTGCAGCAACAGCAGCTGCAGCAACAGCAGCTGCAGCAGCAGCAGCTGCAGCACCAACAGCTACAGCAGCAACAGCTGCAGCATCAACAGCTGCAGCACCAACAGCTGCAGCGCCAACAGCTGCAGCACCAACAGCTGCAGCAGCAGCAGCTGCAGCACCGACAGCTACAGCAGCAACAGATGCAGCAGCAGCAGCAGATGCAGCAGCAGCAACAGATACAGCAGCAGCAACAGATGCAGCAGCAGCAACAGATACAGCAGCAGCAACAGATACAGCACCAGCAACAGATACAGCAGCAGCAACAGATACAGCAGCAGCAACAGATGCAGCAGCAGCAACAGATACAGCAGCAGCAGCAGATGCAGCAGCAGCAGCAGATACAGCAGCAGCAACAGATGCAGCAGCAGCAACAGATGCAGCAGCACTGGCAGCATCTGCAGCAGCAGCCGCAGCTGCAGCAACAGATGCCGATGCACCCACAGCAGCAACAGCTGCTGCAACAGCAACAGCAGATGCCGTTGCCTTTTGAGCAGCAGCAGCACCTGCAGCATCAGATGCCGGCGCACCAGCTGCAGCATCCGCTGCAGCAGCAAATGCAGCAGCAGCACGTGCAATATCAGCAGCAGCAGCAGCAGCTGCAAGCGCAGCAACAGCAAACATTTCAGTCACTGCAGCAGCCCATGCAGCAGCAGCCGCAAGGACTGCAGCACCAGCAAATGCCGCAGCAGCTGCTGGTGCCGCAGCAGGGCTGCCAGCAGCAGCAACACCTGCAGCAGGAGCACGAACTACAGCAGCAACAGCAGCAGCCGCTAGAGCAGCAGCAAGAGCAGCAGCAGCAGCAGCCGCAGCAGCAGCAGCAGCAGCATTGCCCTCCGGGTCCCTCTCCGGTGGTGGAGAAGCCAGAGCAGGAGCAGCAGCTCATGCAGGAGCAGCAGCAGCAGCAGATGCAGCAGCAGCTCAGTCAGCAGCAGGAAGATCTCAAAGAGAAGGCGTCAGTGGCGTTGGCAGCAACTGCTGCTGCTGCTGATGCTGCTGCTGCTGCTGCTGCTGCTGCTGCTGCACGCGAGGAACC